TTCTGCACAATTTTTCTGAGAGCTGCCTCTGATCATGTCAGGAAGAGACAAAACCAGCAAGTATGATTCAGAGCCAACCAATTCTTCCCCAGGTGAGGTGTGTGGTAGGTGGTGCCTAGGATACCCACAGTGGCCCCTCCTTGTGAGTTGTCCTTTTCTAGGACCTTGTGCTGCTGTCCTCCCCAACAGTGTACAAGGCTCCTGTCTTAGTTACTCTGAGTCACCACATAGAGTCATTTTTAAGGACAGGCCCATATGGAAGAAAAGCCTCTTGTCAACAGCCAGTCACATGAATAAGCTTAGGAGTTGACACCCCAGCTCATTGAAGTCCGTGGATGACTATAATTGGGTAACACTGTTTTTTTTTTTTTCCTTCAAAAGAGACAAAGTCAGAATCCCCCAGCTAAGTGGCTCCTGAATTTGTCATCCTCATACACCATATGAAGTAACAAATTTCTGTTGCTTAAAAATCATTAAAATTTGGAGTGATTGCCACCTAGCAATATATATGAATTTAGGAACTGGAAGGTAACCTGTGTGGTATCTTCCTTTGTCCTCATTTTGTAGATCTGAAAGGTAAATAAAGAGCCTAGCAATTTGCTTAGGGTCTCACAGTAACCTTGGCAACCTTAGAACTTGAACTCCATTTTTTTTTTTTTACAGTCTTTCTGTTTAGCCATCAGTTCACTCAGCAGATATTTTAATGATTTTTTTATTAAATCACTAAGCATTGTTCTTCAGAACAACTGGAAGTGAAATTAGTAAAAAATAAAGAACAGGAACATGAAATAAATGTAATGAACACGGTACCTCTTAGAACAGCTAACTGCCTTACTATTCCCAGCTGTTCAGACTGGAGGCAGAGGCAGGTACCACAGAGAGGAGAGTTGTGCTGATCCTTGACTGGGGCTTGTTGCCAGGGTTAGTTCTTAGCCTCTGCAGTGAGTAACTTGTGATAAAACTGGCAAGAGAATGTATGCTCCGATGACTTGGCCAATCGCATTAGACAAACAGGGCCTTGAAGAGTACACAGTGGGCAAAGGGCTTGTAGCATGGTCACAGGTTGGGCAATTTTAGCTAAGTTTCCCCCAGAAAGGACCAACTTCAAGGTCCTGGGCTCTCCTCAGGGAAGTGGAACTCTACTCACTTGCAGAAAAGTCTACTGACACACACTAGCCATGAATGCATGTGTTTTGTACTTGTGAATAGCTATGAGGATCCCTTACTTTAATCCTAAGTTTCCAGGGAGAAAGGAAAATAGGAGTACAGAGTGCCCTTGGTCCCAGTGGTAAATCAGTTGGAAGGAAGTTGTGGAAGCTTTAGGAGACTCGGGCTTGCCTAGAGGAAGCTCTTCACCAGGAAGAGGAGCTTTGAGGCTCTCATTCTCTCTCTCTATCTCCCTTCCTTCACCCTTCCCTCCCTCCCCTTTTCTTTCTCCCTTCCTCTCCCTCCCCCCTGAGTCTGGTTGACAGTTGAAAATGATGCCTCTTAGCTTTGGGCATCTTACACAGCAACAGAAAAATGTCTGGGACCCTGGGCATGCTTTGGTGTTGAGATAAACCCTTAGGCTTAGCCAGCTACTCAACTGGGGTGGCAAATAGCTTGAGTCAAAAGCACTCCAGGGTGTCTATCTTGGGACAAGATTGTGTTCCCAGTCTGTTTTTTTCTAAACTGTGTCCCCAGTGTCATCTTGGTGCCAAGAACATAGGGAATCTTATAAAACATCAAGATATTGAGTGAACAGAACTGAGTGCTAATGAGAAGACCCCAGTCATGGGGAAATGCCTTAGTTAATAAAAATGGAGCCCTGGGTCAGGTCTTCTAAGGACTCCGTGGATTTTCAAATAGAAAAAGTGGGACATGAAGGAAAGGGTTCCAAGTATTTTATTTAGATAAGACAAATTAAAGCTTATGATGTGGTCAAAGTTCATTGTTTCCAATGATCAATGTATCATCTCTAATGTTTTTGCTGCTAAACACCTGTTTGCCTCTACGTTTATGAAAACCCCCACATTATGAGCCTTGACCTTAAAGACAGAAAATCAGCAGAGATCGCACCTCCCCAGGCCATGAGGTTTTTCTCCTGGCTTCTTCCAACACCATCCAGCTCCAGTGGTGAGTTTCCAACCAGTTCTGCTCTTTCCTAACATCCCAACATTGTGGTTTGCCACGTTCCCTTCTCTCAGCCTTGCTTCTCAGTTCCAGAAGCTTCGGAAGCCTTAACTTCAACCCACAGGAGAGGAGCCCTCAGAGAAGAGCAAAGCAAGGAGCTGAGGATTAACTGCAGGGTGCAAGCCCAGCAGCCCTGAGGCCCTACCAGGCTGACTTAGGCGTTTTCTGTCCACTACTGCAAGGTGGAAAATGTCCCATCAGGAAAGTTCCAATCAGCCCAGAGCAGAAAGAAACTTTCCCAAACCTCTGAACTCTGAGATCCTGGTATGAGTACCTGTGATAAATAGGCAGTCACTGGCCTACAAAGCACCTGGCAACACAGAGATCCTGGGGACAAATGTTCCCCAGGCTGAGTAGTCTGTATGTGCCCCAGAGTGCAGGAGTCCTAGCCAAGCCAGGGAAAGAAGGCCAGATTCCTGGGGTGTACACCAAAACTCTGCCCTAGGGCAACAAAGGCCCTGGAGAGTGCTGGAGCTTGCTAGTGGCAGAGTGGAAGGCAGAACACACACAGCTCAGCTCAGAGGTGGGAGGGGGGCTGAAGAGCACCAGAACTCGAGCACTTGCAGGTAAGGGGGCCTTGAGTAAACCTAACCCCCCTCCAGGCTGCACCCAATGTGTTAAGTTCTCTTCTGGCGGTGGATAGCACTTGAATTGTGGATAGCTCTTGGGTTCCAACTTAGGGCTGACTTGATGGATTTGAGAGGGTTTGAGAAGAGGACCAGCTACAAGAGGAGGAAGAAAAACTAAGATAGATTGAAAGAGGGCACTCTCCAGTCCCAAACTGCGCAGGGGTAAGTGGATGGATTGGCATAGAAGCCAGCTGAGAATTGAAGAGGGGGTCCCAAGAAGCTGTGTCAGATCCCTCATTAAGCAAATTCTGAGACACTACATGGCATTAACTTAAACCTCTAGGTGTGGCTGGTGAGCCCTTACTCTGCAAATCTGATGATTTTTCTCACTTTTCCCCTAAGCATCTGCCATCACCCAGTAGAATTAGAATTAGTGGATCTCAGACCCCTGACAAGTCCTGAGGGTAGCAGATCAGAACTAAACAGGAGTTGACTTCTAAGCTTTAAAATCCTCCTCGAAGTGGGCCAAAAAGTACTTCTGCTTCGAGAAACTCTGGGGCGGTTGTGTGTGTGTGTGTGTGTGTGTGTGTGTGTGTGTGTGTGTGTGTGTGTGTGTGGAGAAAGCCCAGGAGGAAGAGTAAAGGAGAGGATAGGCAGAGTGAAGAGAAGCTGGCATTGAAAGCGCAGACTCCTGAGAGGAGCTCACAGCCACGAAAGGATTCAAAGGTGGTGAATCTACTGTACAGTTAGGGGGGGGCTCCGCGGCTGGGGGTAGGAATTTATTCCGGAGAGCAAGGGCTACAACTCAGACTAAGGAAACCCAGACCAAGATCAGTTTTCCCGTGTGATTGATAGATTATGCCTAATCTGTAAAATGGGAATAATGTCCAGCCGTTATTCTCTGTGAGGAACAGAACTAAAGCTGATAAATCACCCTAGCCTTTACCATCATAGGAAGTGGAACTAGGTTCTCCCCCTTCAAACACAACACACCACAATTACTTTTTTAAAGGCCCCCTTTCTGCCTCCCCCACCCCACCCCCACTCGCAGCTTCTGGTAGATGACTACGTTGTGCGCCTTTCTGGCCTGTCCGCCTGTCCTCCTCCCGGGAGAGGCTGGTGCAAAAGCCAATAAGCCTGGAACACACTCAGGTCCTTCAGGACCCGGGACAATAGTTTCCATTTAATAAATATTTCCCCCAAGGGCATTTCACATCGGCCAGGCAATTATTCAAAGGAAACAGGCTCGCAGGTTGGCTCGGCGGGTTATTTCGTCCTCTTTACCCGAAGAATGCTCATCTGACTCAAGAAAGGAGCCCCCCGTCTTCGCTGAGTGGGAAAAGGCACCCTGGGGGAAAAATCGACCCTAGTTGAGAGGATACAGACTGAGGAGGCTCCCGTCTACAGACACCAAAGGGACAACAGGAAGGTTCCCCAGGGCCCGCCTACCCGCTGTCTTTCTAGTTTTGACCGTTAAGGAACGCTGGGCGTTTTAAATCACCAAATAATGACAAAATAAGTAAGAATCAGAATGGACCCTCCCTACCACATAGCCCTCAAAGTGAAGAGTTTTAGCGTTAAGGGCCCCCCAGTGTGAAGAGCTGCAGTTTTAGATGCTCGCTAACGAGGACTGGAAACCTCTGCAACTGCCACTCGAATTATCCAGACTCAGGGAGCTTTGCTCCGACCCTCAGGGGCCCGGAACTTCTCCGTGGGAGCGTCCTCACCCCCACACCTGCAAGAATAATACTAAAGCAGCGCAGAGGTTATGAAGCAAAAAGTTTATTTTGCTTTTTGCCCTGAGTTTGATATATTCTTTTCCTATACCAGGGATCTTTGACAAGTGTGTGAGTATGTGTGCTGGGGGGGGGGGGATGGGGAGGATTGTCTTCTCATTTGGTGGCTAGGCTGTCCTATTTATCTGCAAGAGCTCTGGACTTGCTGCTTGAGATCTTTGTATTAAGGAGCACCAGTTCTCTTTTGAACAACTGGGGTCCGGGGATTAAAACCGGGGGCACGAAGAGTTTTAATTTTTTTGCCAAAGACGATGTAAATCCCCAGTCTCCGGTCCTGAACTAGCTCTGTTCGGCGGTGTCTGTGCCCCTCATACCTCTCCCCGCCCCCATCGGGGACGCTCTGGTTTCCACTACTCGCGAGTTGGCAGGTGCGCCCCCCCTCCCCGCCTTCCCTGCTGCTGATTGGCGCCCAGGTTGGGGAGTCGCCGCCCCGCGCTTATGTCAGAGTGCGTGCGGTCCCGGCCCACCTCGCCTTTGAACTTCACCGCTTTTGGCTGCAGTTCACCAGCCTCCCCGCATTCTCAGCCAGGTGCGGTGCTAGGCAAAGCAGCGCCTGGAAAGCCGCGGGAGGGGGGAGCCACGGCCAGAGAAGCCAGGGGAAAGACGGGAAGGAGAGAAGGCGAAGGTGAAGAGGGAGAGGAGGAGCCTCCTGCCCTCGCCAGAAAATTACCTAGCCACTTAATCCCAAGACTCTGGTTCTTGGGCCCCAATCTCTGGTGCCCACAGACTCCAGGCCGAGCGCCCCCTTCTCCCCGCTGCCCTTCCTATCCTTCGGCCCCTTGGGGGCTGCCTGGGTGCCGGGATTGGCATGATCAGTTGAAAACTTTACAGGGTCGGCTCTTCTCTCTGACTCCCCCTCTGCGGCTCCGAGAAGAGGGGAGTTCAAAGTCCCGAGCTCAGGACGGACAGAAAGACAGGCGGCCAACCGCGCCCGAGCTCGCCCGCAGAGCCCCTGCATTCCCCACCCCCGCCCGCCTTGCCGGGACCATGTCCAAACCTTCAGACCACATCAAGAGGCCCATGAATGCCTTCATGGTATGGTCCCGGGGCCAGCGGCGCAAGATGGCCCAGGAAAACCCCAAGATGCACAACTCGGAGATCAGCAAACGCCTAGGCGCCGAATGGAAGCTCCTGTCCGAGGCAGAGAAGCGGCCTTACATCGACGAAGCCAAAAGGCTGCGCGCCCAGCACATGAAGGAGCACCCCGACTACAAGTACCGGCCAAGGCGCAAGCCCAAGAACCTACTCAAGAAAGACAGGTATGTCTTCCCCCTGCCCTACCTGGGCGACACGGACCCGCTCAAGGCAGCCGGCCTGCCCGTGGGGGCTTCCGACGGCCTTCTGAGCGCGCCCGAGAAAGCCCGGGCCTTCTTGCCGCCGGCCTCGGCGCCTTACTCCCTGCTGGACCCTGCGCAATTTAGCTCCAGTGCCATCCAGAAGATGGGTGAAGTGCCCCACACGTTGGCCACCAGCGCGCTGCCCTACGCGTCTACCCTGGGCTATCAGAACGGCGCCTTCGGCAGTCTCAGCTGCCCCAGCCAGCACACGCACACGCATCCGTCCCCCACCAACCCGGGCTATGTGGTGCCCTGTAACTGTACTGCCTGGTCTGCCTCCACCCTGCAACCCCCTGTCGCCTACATCCTCTTCCCAGGCATGACCAAGACTGGCATAGACCCTTATTCGTCAGCCCACGCTACGGCCATGTAACCCCCAGCTTGGCCCGGACCTGAAGGGTGGCTTGGGAGCAGAGCTCTGCATCCTTCCCCTTGCACCTAGTCTGGCCTGCAGAAGTCTCTGGGTCAGGCCCGCCGCTGTCCTTTGCCCACCCCAGACTCTGCCTCTCTCTTCCAGGGGGAAGGGAGGGGTCATCCTCCTGGACCCAAGGTACAGACTCGTGCCCGAAATTTCCAAACATTAAGACAGCTACACATCTGCCCCTCTCTCGACTCTCCCAAAGCAAGTCTCCAACTGTAACCCCTTTGGACAAAAAAGAAAAAGAAAAAAAGTAGGCAGTTTTGCTTTTATTTAAGTCCCCTCACTCTCCTTGGATAGGCTTTGGACTCGGAACTCCCAGACCCTGGTATTATATCTAGAATATGCGTATATATATATTTTTTCCTTTCCCACTGAAGAAAAGAGCTGAATCTCGGTGCTGTGCCATCAGACACGGCTAGGTACCATTTGCTCTTCCTGTGTGGGGAGAGAAAGGCTTAAAAGTTTAAAACTTCAGGAAGGGACACCTTCTGTTTAAAACCATACTATGGTCGTGTTTGCTTCGATAAAGAGAAAACAAAAAGGACCCACAATGGCTTTTCACTTTGTGTAACGCAGTACTCCTAGACACCTAAGTTTACTTTTAGACAGAATGTCAGGTTATGAAGTCAGGAAATAGAAAGCGAACGAAACTTCAAATAATAAAAAAACATCCTACATGGTCATAAATGTTTTGACAATGTCTTGGAAATGTACCTAGAAGGATTTTACCTCGTTCCTCTGTTCATTTGTTGAACAAAGACGTTTTGAATAAAGACAATCTGTCATTGCAAAAAGTAACCTTTGATGTGCGTAAAATCAAGTTAGGAGGCTTAGCTTCAAGGAGAGTCTTCCTCCTAGCTGAGAGTTCCTAGAGGAGCTGAAGCAGGGAAGGCTGGGGTGGTCCTGCCCTGGCAGAACCTGATGGCCTATGACCTGTAGAGGGGCCTTGAGTCTGGGATCTGTCTGGATTTCTCCCTGATAACCTGAGTTTTGCCTTTTGAGTCTTGACAAAGATGTCAATCCCAGGATGCCTTGCCTTTCCCACAATCTTCATAAAGCAGGTCAAATCATTTCCAGCAGTGAATGAACTCAAACAAAGGTGGGATTATTGACGTTTAATAAGGATCTCTTGAGTTCTGGGTAGGTTTGCTTTTTAAAAACTATCCTCTACAGAGCGAAGTAGCAGTCTTGCAGTTCTTGCAGTACTTGCAAGTTCTTGCAGTATTGGAGCAGACTGCATGGCTGTGGGTGCTTTAAGTTCAGGGCCAGGGGTGAGAATGGGAGGGTTTTTGTTTTTATTTTTGCTTTGTTTAATGTTTGTTGTCAGGTCCCCTGAGAATCAGGGACCCCAGACTAAGTTCCTAAGTTGTTTTTTGTTTGTTTGTTGTTTTCTGATGACTAACAACTTTCTTCCACCCCTTGGGGAAGAAAGGGGGGGTGGGAAAACAGAGAAAGAAGAAAGTGGTGTCATGCCTCAGGCAGAATTCTTAAAACACAAATTTTAAAAAGCGGGCGGGGAGGGGCACTTCTCTTTCTCCTCTGGGAGTATTTACTTGTGTGTGCCTAGGCTTTGCTGATGCTGTCTAGCCAGCGCAACAGTTCTGAATTCAGAGTTTGTTGTCTAATTGGAAAGCTGTTTCTCACCTCCGGCATCCCGCGAGTTTCACTTCCCAAATAGCTGCCCCTCGTTTTTCCACAGGCAGTGTGTTTCCCTTCACCCCTAACTTTGCGGTGGTGGCTGGAAGGGATGGGACTCAAGGCCTTTCCGCAGCGGTGGAGGGATTTGTGAGCCTCTACCCCCGCCCCATTCTCCAAAGGACTCGGTAGCCAGAGGTGGGAGAGAAACGTTGTCAACAGCCACCAAAGCCAAAACCCTCGGATTAGCATATTGTCCGCAAAACAATTAGAAGTGTTTGAGGTGCTATTTGGAGCCTATTCATCCGAGCCCCTTTGTCAAGGGGGGATTTTCATTATTAAAAAAAATAAGTTAGCAGTTGTCCATCTGGCTGAGCTGAATAGCAAAGTGATTCGTGTTGTATATGCTTTTCTCATTAAGAGCTCTTTTGAGACCAATGTTAGAATTAAATGGTATTACACAATTAACATACAAGGCCGCTGAATAGGACGGGACGCCTATAAATAATAGATAGATAAATAAATGAACGTTCAGGCTAAGGTAAACAAAGGCGGGCTGGGGGGAGGTGTGGAAGAGGCCAGGCCGGCTGAGCCACGCTTACTTAGCATCACAAAACCCTCTTACAAATCGAGACAATTAGGAAGTGCCGAGCCTCTGGTGGCCGTCGGGTCTAGGGACTCTGGGTGAGTAGGGAAGGCCCCTCCTCCCTCCCCCTAGGAAGCTCAGGAGGCCTAGGACGCTGGCAAAGCTTCCGTTGTTTGATCTAACCCCAACTGACAGTCCTGTCAGCCTCTCTGCTCTCCTTCATAGCTCAGTGTCCCTTAACATCTCCCAAGATGAAGCGTACAAGGGGTTGGTGTTTCCCCTCAGAGCCCTGCGCAGAAGCTCCCAATGCACCCCAGACAAGGGAGGAACCCAGGCGCCTGGCCACACTAAGGTGCCCAGCTGATTGTGAAGGGAGTTAAGATTGCAAAGGGGCGCCAGGCGGGTTTGAGCGGAGAAGGCCTCGGAACACAAATGCTAAAACAAACAGTTATTTTAAAAAAATTAGAAATCAAGGTTACATCCCGACTGCACTCAACCTTGGGATTCTCCCGGAGGCCAAAGTGAGCTGGTACTTTGGGGCCTCGGGCCCAGCCTAGGGCCACCGAAATCTCTTTCCAGCTCACTCAGCGGGAACCAGAGTCCTGCAGACTAAGCTCGGGACATTTCTTCCCTGGGCACTTTGTTTTCTTAGTTGACTGCCTGCCTTCCTCCGACCCAGGCTCTGCCTCGCCTCCAAGGCCTGTGGCAGTTTCTTTTCTGGGGCCAAGGGCCGCAGAGCTTTGGTTGCAAAGGTGTGCGGCCACAACTCGCCCCCAACAACCTAAATCCTGCTTGTCATGCAGCTGGCATGGGTCCGATTACAGACTTTAAAGTCTGCCGCAGACAAAAAGGAATCCCCTGGGGAGGCGTGTGTGTGTGTGTGTGTGTGTGTGTGTGTGTGTGTGTGTGTGTGTACGCAGTCTCAGTCAAACCTGTTTGCTCACAACTGTCTCTTTCTTTCAAGAAAAGCATTAAAGCAAACCTGTAGGGAAAGGAGCGCCCCACCCGCCTGGAGTGCAGGACAGCCGCTTCTCCCGGCGCTACGCGCAGCAAAGAGCGGCCTGGAGTTCCCCGATACATACGCACTTTGCGGGCCCGCAGAGCCCGAACTCCCGATGCACGCGGCGGTCCCGCACCCTGCGGAAGGAGTGTCTGCCGCCTGCTCTGCGCTGGGGACCAGTCCCGCAACCCGGGAACGCTGTTCCTTCCCTAGTGCAGCCCGATCCTCCCTCCAGCAGAGGCGACCCGAGTAAAGTTCCTGGCCTTCCTGCAGTTGCTTCTGCTGGGAACCCACCCCGCCCCCCACCCCGCCAAAACAAACAAAAACTGATCCTATATGAGTCGCGCTTCCTGTGGTACCCACCGGTCTTCTGCTACTGTTTTCTAGGACCTGGGAGGGCTGAACCGTGTGCCCTCCGGATGGCAGCTGGCAGGGCCGGCTAGTTCGGGTTTTAGCTAGGTTTTCATTCTTAAATTTTGGCGGCGGTCCGTCTCAGAAGCTCACTGGTCTAGATTTTTGGGAGATTGGCATGTTGCTTCATTTTCAAAACATTTCGGGTTTTTGTTTGTTTGTTTCTCATTTCCCTGTATTTGGGTCTTACTCCCCAAACTTTTATTCCCTTCCACTTTCCTAGCCTTCCTATTTAAGGGATCAGTTTTCATACGTCGTCTCTTTCTTTCAGAAAGAGACTTTATAGATGGAGAAGGCCAGCTACTTCTAGTAAATCGCACTGACTCGCGAGTGACTGGCATTTGAGACTCCTTCAGGTTTGCGGTTTAAAGACACCTAACGTCGGGGAATCCTCGCTGATGCAAAGAAGGGTTGTAATGCAGTCCAGGTAGAGCCTTGGGGACTTTCAGCGCGCCACCTGCAGAAGCTCTTCCTAGCCCCGCATGTTCTCGGGAGAGATAGCTTGCTGCCAGCGCCTGGAAAACTTGGCAAGCGATGGGGCCAGCTCTGTCTTGGCGGATTACCGTTCCCTTCTGCCTCGTTTCGGTTCAACCCTTGCCACCATTGTCCAAGTGGACAATGATTTCAAGTAATTCACAAGATTCGTATTCAGAATGCTCAGCTCTTTTTGCCTTTGCCGGTTGGGTCGTGCGTAGGAGAAAGGCGAGGAGGGGGTTGGGTGTAGAGTGGGGTGAGGTGTTTACATTTGGGTGCTTTAGGTGCGGTGCTGGAGCTTTGCACTCCTGCTCGGGACTTTCTTGCTTGGTCTCCCGCTAGTCTCGGGTGCGCTCCGGCCGAGCGATGGGAGCGCTGTTTGGGCTTCTTCCCTGATGGTTCCTGAATGGTGCGTCTTGACCAAGAACCTGACGCCTTGACGTTGAGCTTTAACCGAGAAATTAAGAAAAGTATGAAGTCGAGGCAGACAAGGGGGCGCTAGAAATCCAGTGGCGTAACAAGGAGCTGGGATGTCAGTCGCCCCCCGGCGGGCCCCCCGCTGTGTGCCTGCGGGACTCCGAACACTGCTAAGGACCCGCTGAGATTCCTGGAAGCTACACTGAGGGGATGTTAAAATGCGAGTGTAGCTGCTTTTGCCTGGGAAGAGGCCCGAAGGCAAGCAAAAGGAAGGGTTCGCCGCTGGGCTAGATCAGCCCCGGGCCCTCGGTGTGGTTAGAGGTCTTCGGACCCAAAAGCTCCAGCAGGCTTCCCCGGGAGCGAGTTGCTTCCCCGAAAGCGGAAGGGGCCCAGGGTATTCCTAGGCCACCTTCCCAGAGTGCCCACCATCTTCTCTCCTACCGTGCCCGGACGCCCGCATCCCAAAGACCCCCCAACTCCCAGAGCAGGTTAAGAGAAGGAGCCA